CTTTTTCTCACATAATAGTCTTTGTTGCCACAATATGCATATTTGGCATCCATTTTGTAATTATATAAAGATCTTACATGATTATAAGTATAGAAATATATTTTAGATATATATAATATCATACGACCAAAATTCATAGTTATGAGTATTTTAGTAAAAAAATTATAATTTTATATAAAATACACGGCCACAATCTATTTCTAATTATTATTTTTCACTATTTGTAATAAATATTTTTCTTACAATAGCAATTTGTATCAAAGAAAAAATAGATTTTATTAATATTTTATATTTTCATCATCTATTATTGCTCTAAATCTAGTAATTGCTTATGAAAGACATGAATCTAAAAAAATTGAAAAATCAAGACACTCTTATGTTACTTGAAAAGACTTGATCATTACTCAAATATGATATACTATTGAATTAGAATAGCTATTGCCAAAGACAAGAAAAGTAGAAAGTGTTGAAATAAGACTAAGGACTAAAAAAGTATTGATAAGAGTAAAGAAGTCTTCACTTTTAACTCTACTTATACTATCTAACTAAGACCTATGTAGCTATGTATTATAAGTCTTTCAAGAAGTGTTGACTTTAAAAGATACATATCTTAACTTACAAGAGAAGTTTACTATATGTGCGCCACATTATTAGCTTGTTCTACAAGCTACCAATATGTATGACATGCAGTTAACTTGTTGATGAAGTTTTTAACCTATTGATCAACTACAAATATGTGTAAAGTTAAAACTACTTCTATAAAGATTCTCTAGAAGATATTATAAAATTAATTTATATTTACATAATTCTATCTAATCATATATGTAATTATTGGAGTAAATACATATGTCTTCAACATTGCTAGTGCTTCTAATAATTTCTAATATATATATATATATATATATATATATATATATATATATATATATATAATTTAAATATTTGATTTATATTTTTTTAAAGTTAAATAAATAATAAAGATCTTACAAAAATTCTCTACAAGGTACTCAAAATATTAATGAGAAAGTTTAGAATGCTTGTCTTTAAAACTATATGATAATTTAATAGAGAATTATATTTTCCAATTATAGAATTATAACAATGTAAATATAATATAATTACCATCTAATTAAGAAGAATACATGAAAATTAAAAATACCTAAAAAGGTAAGTTTTAGATTAGAGTTCATATATTACTATTTCATTGTCTAAATATATGAACTTTGTAATGAAAATACACTTATAAATTAAATATTAAAAATACTAATGATAATGTAGATGAAGTTGAACTATTTTTCAAATAGTAATAATAATATTTAATCTTGGAAAAAAATAGACTAAAGAAGCATGGACAATTGTATTGGATAGAAATCTAAATTTTTAAAAATTATTTTATAAATTTTTTTAAACTATAAATAAAAATAACATGATTTTTGGACTTGAAAAATCTTGGATTTTAAAACAAAACAAAATAAGACTTTAAATACAACTAAGAACCTATAAGAAGTAATGATGTATCCATATTAAACTTTGTCATACTTATTACAATTAACAAAAAGTATTCTTACAACAGATGAGATTTTATATAGTTATTTTATAAATTTATTTAAAATTATCTATTTTTTTTAAACATCAACAAATATACCTAAATCATCTATGATAGAAAAATATTCTAAAAAGATATTAATTTTTTTTCTTAAGCTTTAATTAATTTTGAATTTAACTTATTATTTTGCAGGACTTAAAATTATGATTTTACATCTATGAAAATTATGATTTTTTATTTATAGTTTTAAAATAAATTTTCTAATGTATATGAACACTTGATTTTCTTTAAAAAACTAATTATAATGACATTGAAAGTTGAGCTAAATATTATTTTAAAGTATTTAATTGTATATATTAATTTTTATATATTTATATATCTATAATTTTATATTTAATATTACACAATCTATATTCAAGGTAGAAACAAAAGATTGTTTGGATTCATCTATGAACAATTACAAAATAAGTTGGTTGCTTTGAATGAACATTAATATAGATATTTGATTTGATACAATCATAATTCTTGTACATGCAGTAATCATTCTCTCAAAGAAATCATATAACATTAAATACATATTATAGTATATATATATATATATATACATATATATATTACTATAGATTCAAAATTTAAAAATTATTACCTTCTGTATTAAATTTGAAAAAATTTCAACCAATCAAGTCAAGTCAAAAAAATTATTAAGTCAAATCTACAAAGAACTTTCAATCCAATCTACCTTGAAATAATAATAATAATAATAATAATAATAATAATTTTCTTATTTTATTTAGGCAAAATCATATTAAATATGATTTCAAATAATTTTTATCAAAATATCTTTAATAAATATTTAGCATTTTTTTATAGTATATCAGTATTTTTTTAATGTATTTGTATTAGTTAATTTCTAAAATAAAATTCAAATTTTCTAAAAAGAAAAAATTATGAAAGATGTAAACTTTTATATTAAGATGGAAAACATTATGTTCCACAATTTACAAATAGTTTAGTCATCAAGTGTAACATTATAACCAACCTATGTGTTGATTTATAAATGTCTATCTTGCTAATACAAAATATAAAAATAATAATTATAATCATTTTAAATAAACAATAAATTTGTAAACTTATTTTTTTATATTCATGCAATTATTGAAATTATTCTGATGTTTTTTTTTCTTTCTTTCTTGAATTTTTAAATTTTTAGAAATTGGTTGCATGGATGTTAGTAATAAAAACTTTGAGAAGAACATGATATTTTATAAATATAAATATAAATATATATATATATATATATATATATTCTTTATAAGTTAGTTAGTTACATCTTTGTTTTTAAAATATATATATATATATATATATATATTTGACATCAAATTATATGTTAGTAAATTATCAACTTAACAAAAAAAGCAAAAATATCAAAAGCACTTGTGGATGATAACCATAGTTGGCAAAGAATGATGCTTGTAGAATATATGCCTTTATTGTATCATCCTATTAAAACTTTGGCTATGGCAAGAACTTTTATCAATTTTTTACAATATTTTAAGACATGTAATATGATGTGTTCTAATATTCAAGGTAATCATTTGGTTTATCAATCAATGCACAACTACATCATGAAAGACAACTTAACTTTTTACATTTAGTATCTTAAATAGTGTTTTTTAAAACCCATGTATAAAGAATGGCTTTTAATCATGAATAATGTGAATTCAGAATTTGAAACTCGGAAAACATTATTTAACAAAAAAAATCCCTTATCCAAAACTTCAGTTTGAGTAACTTCCTGCAAACTACAAATTATTCCATTTTAATAATAAAATCCTATATCACAAGAAAATACTAGAATAAACTAAAAGATGGTGGCATTTTGATTTGTTTTATTAAAACAAATAATCATGAATGTTTAAAAATAAGAAATGATGTCAAATGTTCATATGAGTCCTGATGTGAAGCATTTGGTAGAAAACAAATATTATATGCTAGTTCAAATGTATTAAAAGTTAATAGTAACTATAAAACATTTATCTAATGCAAATTTTTATTGAAAAACAAAAATTGAACTATGGACCACTGTACAAATCTACTGATTACTGTAAAATATAAACTAAACCATTCATAAGAATCTCAAAGTTGACATAAAGGTCAACGTGAAAATCTTTAATATCTTGATATTATGCATAAAGTTTTAGAGAAATTAGGAAATTTCCAAAATTTTAAAAAAAGGAAAAACAATGAGACAGGATATATTTCAAATACTCCATAGGATTTCTCAAGCATTAATTCAGTGCATTATCTTCAAAAGAAAATGTAAAGAAAAACCAACAGACTTATAAAGAAGATAGCATTAGTACATGCAAAGTAACACACTATTTTCTATCAACTAGATATTCATGCAATACATAACATCAGACATACCAACATGTGATTAAAAAATTATAAATTTTTGTGATAACTTTTCATGCATACTACTAAAAAACATGCCTAAATTTTATTAGTCAAAACTTGGTAATGACAAACCTTATTTGATTTTTACATTTAATGTAGGAAATGATATAAATATTAATATGTTTCACATTGTGTAAGATGCCATATAAAACGTCACAAATAAATTAGATGTGAAGTCTAAATAAAGATTGTTATACACAACATATCAAGTGCCATAAATCAATCAAGAAGTATGCAATCAAAACAAAATACAAATGCCCTGTCCAAAAACTTCAAAACAAAGATAGAAAATTCAAACACCACTACGTCAAGCAATCTCTCACACCATAAAGAGAGAATCTAAGAGTGCAAGTGTTTGACAAATTACATGAAAGATGGGAAGGTATCTCAACCTCAAAATATTGGCATACACACCAAACTCTATAACCAACAAGAATAGCACTTTGTAAAATTGAGACCTGCAAGCTGAAACTTAAATCATAGTGAAGCATGAACTTACATCCAAATAAGCCTTTTGATTCAAACAATGGGGACCACTAAATTTCCATGATAAATTTGACATGCACTAGAACAACCATTTGAAGAACAACAGATGTGGATTCTTCAATTAGGGGGGGTTAAGACAAACTTTGAGCAGTTGCGAATTCGGACACGAAAGCAGCATTGACTTGTTATTTGTCACATGGTGGGGGCGGTGTTTCCATCCCGTCACCCTGACCTCCTGAGAACCGCCGCATAGCTCCGGGTATGATGATCTTCTGGTTGACAACCGTTCTGCGTGGAAGACCCGTTCGCTCTTGCCCACTTCAACCTTCTAACCCCGCCCAATCTTCCCGCCAATGCAGCGAAGTGCGGACGAGACGGGTCTTCTCAACGGGCTTTGGAACGGAATGGAAGACTTGGAAAATGCGGGAAATAGAGTGAGAAGTCAGGCTGAGCGTCGGATCCGGTTCTGAAGACCCGGCGCTTGGATGCAAAGGGGAGGGGGACTTGGGATGGAAGTCCCTCTCCATCGGTTTGAGGCATATAGAGTCCTTCCAGGCTTGGGTCTGTCACTGTGTGATATTGTGGTGCTTGCTGTGCTGTGTGTCGGAAACCCTATCTGAGTGTGGAGCGCGGGTGTGTGTCGGTCGCTGTAAGGAGGGGTTTGAGTTTAGAGTGACCGTGGTAAAGGGAGTTCGACGATGTCTGGGCGTGGCAAAGGAGGGAAGGGGCTTGGGAAGGGTGGCGCGAAGCGTCATCGGAAAGTGTTGCGTGATAACATCCAGGGTATCACGAAGCCTGCGATCCGGCGTCTGGCTCGTCGTGGAGGAGTGAAGCGTATCAGTGGGCTGATTTACGAGGAGACTCGCGGCGTGCTGAAGATATTTTTGGAGAATGTGATCAGGGACGCGGTGACGTACACGGAGCACGCTCGGCGGAAGACGGTGACGGCGATGGATGTGGTGTATGCGTTGAAGAGGCAGGGGCGGACGCTTTACGGGTTCGGAGGGTAGAGCGGAAGGGCGGGCCGGGGGTGGCTCAAAATCGACGGTGTTCTTGAACACCACCTCTTTGTGGAATGAGGGATCTCCGGTTGGGTTCTGGTGTGTGTGTGTGTGGGGGGGGGTGTTGCGTGGTTGTTTTTGGGATGAACAGTGGGTATGGGAGCGTGGTGTGCATGGTGCGTTGTCCGTTTTGATGTTGTGTTTTTGCAATGTGTGAGAGAGGGTGGTAGTGTAGGGGGCACCTCGTGGCAGTGATGAGACATATTGTCCGTACCATTTGAGGCGAAAGCTATGCTGAATGGCAAGATCTGAAGCTTCGAGGTGTAGGGTTGTAGCGATGTGATGGTGAAGGCGTGGATGCGTTCGGCAGGAGTTTGGAGCGAGAGCGTGTTGCGTGTTTAGGCGTGTTGTGTGGGAAGATGTGGAGGCATGGTGAGTGATAGTTTGTGTGACATGTTTGTGATGGAGTAAATATCGTACGTTGTTTTCCCCGCAGCAATGGATGACAGGTAGAGAGTAGAGGATAGGGGGTAAATTGCATGCAATTGGTAACTTGATAAGAGAAAGATGATAGCGATGGAACGGAATGGGAGTTCGCAGCTGCAGGGCAGCGTCCGAAATTGGTGCGAGACGAGAGCGTGCGATAACTGTGATCCGGCATGTGATATCACGCGAAGAGAAACTTGGCAGGGCGTGGTAACACATTCGGAGGGTAGGGTCGGTAGACGGGAGTAGTACCGTGACGCGGCTTAGATGTGTATCGGCGGCGGCGGATTGGGAAGTCGTCCGCATCCGTTGTAGTCTAGATGGTTGGGATATTCGGCTCTCACCCGAGCGACCCGGGTTCGAGTCCCGGCAACGGAAGCTCCCGAGTGATAAAATGGACTACACATGGTTTTTTCCTCTTTTTCAGGTCAGCACTTTGACGTCGTCGCAGTCGTCCCTGCCGAGAATCGAAGCCAGGGAGTGTCCCCCTATGATGGATAAAACAAGTCCAATTCACTCGCAGATGGAGAGTTTATTTAATCTAGTGATTTAATTTAAGTTGTAATTGTTGATGTACATGCGAAATTAGATTTTCTCTAGTATCATTTGGATATTAACTAGTGGTAACACGTGGTACAGTTGTTGGATATTTTGAACAATATTTCTGGTGGACACTGTATGGTCGTGCATTCAACCAAGTGCAAATTTGCCATACAGGTAGACCATGACACTAGTGCGATAAGAGTGTTCGAGTGCAGGAGTATTTCAAACAGAGCAAGTTCAAACACAATGTAATACGGTGATGTTACGATACTGGTGATTTTCTGCTGGTAAGTCCTATTGGCTCTTTGCATCGACTTTTACGACTCTTACGACTGTTTGAATGGAATATAGCTGCTTGGTAGGATTGCAGTTCAATGATAGTGAGAATTGGGGATCATACTTAAACTTTAATCAAAGTGATCTGCATACAGTCCCGACAACTTGGTTGTTGATTACTTGTTTGACATTTCTATCGTATGGCTTACTTACCTCTTTTATGTGTTTGATGGACACATTGCCCTTTATAAATATGGGATGCACAGTAAATTGGTTTGTCCGTTTTGGTTTGTTAGATTTTCTAAGTTACTAGAATGCATTGACTTGGCCTAATTAGTGTAGAATGCAATGATTTGGCCTAATTAGTGTAGAATGCAATGATTTGGCCTAATTAGGCTTTGGAATGACCTACATAACATAGGTTATTTCCCTGGCTACAGATGACATCAAAGACGTTAGCTTATTGCCAGCTCTTGGACCTTCAAACATATCAGTCTCATATTATTGTTGGGAGAGCTTAATGGCTTGCCCCTCACAGAACCAGCCTGTGCAATTTAAACATTGGATCTGGAGTAGCCGTGCTGCGGACGCTGCTGCCATTGGTGAGTTCAATTGTTGTGAAGTCCAAATTTTTCTTCATTGATTCCTTTTGTAGCTCATTCTGAGATTGCAGAGCGAGTTGGCAGAGCAAAGCGAAGAGCGAGATCGCGGCAGAGCAATTCCGAAATGACGGCGATAAGTTCTCGACTAGGTCTCGCCACATTGTGTTGCGATTCATAACACCAAACTCCCTTCATATCAGTTTTCTGCAGTCGGTTTCAGATTCATAGTTCTTAGGACTATTAGTCAGCCAACACTGTAGGTTACACACCAAGTAGAAACATGGCCAATTCACTCCCCCGAACTTGAGATTTGGTATCCCAAATTGCACCAGAGTAGGGCACTGCTCTCCAGTATGGGAGTAGTGCTCGAACAACCAATCTACACCTCATACACTTAGTGATCTAAAACAGATAAGAGCCCCTTTATCCAATATGGCTCCAAAGGTAGCACCATTGGTCAGATACTTGTGCACTTGAAAACCTGAAGCCTTCCGGCAAAGGACAATGCAGTACAGTCAAAGTGCAATCTTCTCTACCGAACAACTCCAAATCATTGAGATTATCCGTAACAAAGCAATGCAGTAGACTATTTTTGGTCATGTCGAAAGTAGAAGTCCTGAAGAACCCGCCCTGAAAGAACCACCTCTCTTCATCTACCAATGGAGACATGATCTCTATTGGACAATGGCTACTTCAATGTCAGCTTCTCATTACTAGACAGCTTCCAGCACACCTATAACTCAACCTCAAGATACACAAGGAGATTTTTATTACTCCATGGACATCTTTTTTCACTGATGAAAACATAGACTAGTACAGATTCTCCTACCAAGTCTAGGTCCACTGCACAAGAGTGATTCAACATCTCCATCACAAGAACTATCTTTGGATAATAGCCTCCAACTTGGGAGAAGTTCCATTTATTGAAAAAACATCACCTTACATTAGTAAAACCGCAGGATTAACTGTCAAACGCAAAGACAATGATGTATCGAGAATACCGGCTAAAATCAGCCTCCTAAGACCGTCACCAAACTACTATTCCTTATCCACATAGTAATAGTTTTGAAACATCCGAATCAGTGCCTCAGGTGCAGAGCATTTGTACATTCCTAAACCGAATGAAAGCCATGCCACCACAACAAACTAAACCTAAGGGTGTGGGTAGACTTTGCATATAGTGAACAAAATTTATGATCCTTTGTACCTATCAAAGTCAATGACCACCTAAACAAAATAAAGACCCAATCCCACCAGCAAATATAGAGGACCATAGGCTCAGACCAAAGTCCTATCCACTTGCAATAATATGGGCTACAGAAGAACTTTCCATCTCTCCAAAATTTGCCTTCATCACATACAATAGATCCATCAATCACACCAAATGACATAGCAAATGAACTTATAAGAGCTAGTCTACACAACGAGTCTATTTTAATACATCTTAGATTAAAATTGATCATTACATATGAAAAGAGTTTTTTCTTTTACAATGTCAAAGACATGAATCTCAAAGAAAAGAAAACCTCCATATACTCTTATATCACTTGGAAAAAATAGATATTCACTCAAAACTAATATAATATTGAAATTAAAGTAGCTATTGCAAAATAAAAATAATTAAAAAATCTCAAAATAAGACTAAAGACTAGAAAGGTATTAATAAGAGAGAAAAATTCTTCACTCTTGCCTCTACATATACTATTTAATAAGGAGGTATGTGGTAATTTTGTATAGGACTTTCAATATGTATAAAACTTGCAAGACATATGTCTTAATTTGCAAGTAATTTTTCTATATGTGTACTATATAGTAAGCTTGTACCACAAGCTATCAACACATGCAATACATTGCTAACTTGTTGGCCAAATTTTTAACCTACCAATCAACTACAAACATGTATAAAGTCAAAGCTCCATCTATGAAGCTTTTAAGAAGCTTTTCTAAAAAATATTATCAAATTGATTTATTTTTACTTATTTATAATTATTAATATTATTTAAATAATTATTTGAATAAATATATATATGTTTGGGACATTACTCTTTTTTCTAGAGATGAGTTCCACTAAGAGCAATGATCATATATTAATGAAGTCTAAGATGTAATGAATTATATATTCCACATACTTTGATCTTTATTCTTTTTGAAGGTAGTTCATAAGGCTTCTTAGCCATCAATAATGTCTCATTCTAGAGCAAAAAGACTTATTTGGTATTTGATTGTTATTGAAGCCTTTATAACTTCTTTCTAACAAAACATTTGTAACACCATCAAGAGTCATTTCTACTTCTAATAAAATCACCAAACATTGGACGTTTCTTTCAAGGTTATGATATCAAATGTGTTGTATCTTGCCATTTATTCAAGAAAGAATATGTTGTTGTTAAGAATCTTCATCTCTATTATGTTGTCTTGAAGGTTGTAACAATTGCAATGTCTCATCTAATAAGTTTGTAAATAATAGTTTTTGAATTAAATCTATTGATTTTTACTTCTTTATTTTTTTAGTAAAAAAAATACAAAAAAATTATAAGCAAGGATAGAAAGTAGAGTGCAATCTTCTCTAAATTATATTTCTTTGATGATAAAGATTTTTTATTTTTTATTTTAGTTTTGATGGATATTATTAATAAAAAGCATCAATCTTCTTTATTGTAATTACAAGATTCTTGGCGGATTTTCCTATGCATTTATTAATATCATATTTGTACTAATGAATAAGATATTTTAACCTATTTTGATGCTACCTTGAGTCTAGGATGTCTTTCATCTCAAACTCTTGATGATTATCTACTTCTGTAGGAGGTCGTGGAATTTATCTTTTTTTTGATATATTCACTATCCTATATAGCTCAAAAAGAGACATATAGAATATGATTTGGATCCTTAGAGACTTTGATAGATATAATTATTAAGCAATTGGATTAATTTCTTCAAAAGGGTGACTATTCTTGATATTATGACAAAGTGGAATTAAAATTGTTTCTTATAATGGTATCATGGACATATACATGTAAACTAATAATTACCTATATGGTTTAGATAAAAATAAATAAAAGTAGGTTAATTCTAGAATATCTTCTATAAAAGCTTTCTAGAAGCTTGGTAGATATTGCTTTGACTTTATAAGTATCTTTAATTGAATTTTTAGATTAGAAACGTGGTCAATAAGTTGGCCATATGCCACACATGTTGGTAGCTTAAAGAACAAGCTAACTATATGGCTCACACGTAGAAAACTTGCCTTGTAAGCTAAGGCATGTGTCCTGCAAAGTCAACATATATTAGAGGTCCTATAGAACATTGCCATGTAGCTCCTAATTAGATAGTATATATAGAGGCAAGAGTGAAGCCCTCTTCACTTTTGTCAACTCTTTTTTTGCTTTTAGTGTAGATTTAAGAATCTCTAGTTTTCTTGTCTTTTGGCAATAGTCATTCTAATTTTTTTTTAATATAAATACTACTTTATTGCTATTTTTTCACTTTTCTTTTAATACAGGTTTATGCATCTTCTTCCAATTCGTGTCCTTGACAAATTGACAAGAGTACACTTACAATATTAGAACTTTGTCTTTTCTTGATTAAGAGTGGATTACTTTTTTTTTTTTATAAGACATAAGTATATTAGAAGTTATGGATATATTAGAAGTATATTATCTTATTCTAAACTAATATTATTCTTAGTATCTTCTTTTTTCTCAAGTTCCCTCTTTTGCTTGTCTTGAGCAACATTAGATATTTATTTTTTAAGTATTATCATGGCAGAGCTTGTTATAATAAAGAGTGCAATGGCACAAATGCAAGAAGAATTGAGGGAGTTAATGCTTGCGATGCATCAACTCAGTTTACTTCCACAAAGAGCAACAAGAATGGCAAGAAGTGATGATATAGATATGATTGGAGCTACTCCAACATCTGCACCCAATCATGTTCCTTCTCCTATGGTGGAACATCCTTTCGGTACTAGAAAATCAACAATTGCCTTGCTTGAGAAGTTTGATGGCATTAGATCTAAGTTTCAAGGATTTATCAATCAAGTATAATTTGAGATTGAACTTCAATCCTAAAGCTATCTAACAATAGGATCATAAGTTAGATTAATTGATATATTTCTTTCAGATTTAACATTATCATGGTTTTTATCTTTTTTAGAACAACGAGATCTAATATTGAATAATTTGAAGGCTTTTTTAGTAGAATTTCGTTCTATGTATGGAGAACATGATGCAACTTGTATTGCAACTAACAAGATCCATATTTTATGATAAAATAATTAATCTATAATATTATATGTTTTTTAATTTTGACAACTTGCAACTGATATCAAGTGGGATGATGTTGCACTTATTAGCCAATTTCTCTATGGATTACAATATGAGGTAAAGAAGTTGATGCTCAACTTACATGATCCTCAAACATTGAGTCTAGCAATTGGTTTTGCTATAAAATGTGACAATCGACTTTTCAAATTTCAATTTGAGAGTAGGATAAGTGGGCTTTAATATTACTATAATTCAATGGCAACACCAATGCCTCTTCAATACATACATTCAGAAGTAGAGGATATACAAATTGATGCAATACGTTTCAAACCTTTTACTGAACAAAAAACGTCTTATTGCCATCAAGAAGGATTGTGTTTATATTGTGCAAAACCTAAGCATACTCCTCAATATTATCCAAAGAAGTGACGTAATTATAAAATGAGGAGTATGAATATCAAAGAAGATAATATATTAGAAAACGAGTTTGTCTAGCTACAATAGGAATCGTGTGGCTGGAACCTTGTACAATATCTAATGAAGGTCCTATTCACTCTTTAGAATCCTCTCTATGTTTTACATTAAATATTATTTAAGGATCTAAACATTACAAAGCCTCTGCCTTGTTAGATTCAGGAGCCTCACCGTGTTTTTTAGATGAAGAATTTGTTAAAAGACTCAACATATCTTTAATAAGGAAAACTAAACCTGTTCACGTAGAAGTCACAGTTGGCCGCTCGTTGTCTTCTGAAGATGTTTGTCACAAAACTCTTTCTATACAAGTAATAACTAATGGTCATAATAGCTTTGTTGTATTTAATATCATTAGATCCCCCTCGAATCCAATCATTTTAAGTTTACAGTGGTTAGAAAAATATAACCCTCAAGTTGATTGGATTTCTTGTATTCTCAATTTTTTTTAAAAGTATAATTAAGAATGTAGTTAATTAAGTAGAAAATCATAAGTCTAGTACAATTGAACCTACGTTTGTAGGTGCAAGAGCTTTCTTACATGCTTCAAAAGTAGAGAGTAGAGGATAGGGGGTAAATTGCATGCAATTGGTAACTTGATAAGAGAAAGATGATAGCGATGGAACGGAATGGGAGTTTGCAGCTGCAGGGCAGCGTCCGAAATTGGTGCGAGACGAGAGCGTGCGATAACTGTGATCCGGCATGTGATATCATGCGAAGAGAAACTTGGCAGGGCGTGGTAACACATTCGGAGGGTAGGGTCGGTAGACGGGAGTAGTACCGTGACGCGGCTTAGATGTGTATCGGCGGCGGCGGATTGGGAAGTCGTCCGCATCCGTTGTAGTCTAGATGGTTAGGATACTCGGCTCTCACCCGAGCGACCCGGGTTCGAGTCCCGGCAACGGAAGCTCCCGAGTGATAAAATGGACTACACATGGTTTTTTCCTCTTTTTCAGGTCAGCACTTTGACGTCGTCGCAGTCCTCCCCGGAGAGAATTGATCCTCTTCTTTTTCTCAAAAACCGAATTTTGTTTTTTGACTACTGAAATATCTTTTAGTTCTAGCTAAGCCTGCCCTTTAATTGGTCGGCAGCAAGTAAAGCTAGTAGAGAAGGAAATGTACTGATTAATCAGTGGTAGAAACAGTTATATTGAGAACCTCTATTACCAAGGGTAGTCAAAATTCGAGCCCACACATAGTCCGAGTATGTCTCCAAACCAAATTGTATCCATGTTGGTTCTGACTCACACTGATGGTTTCGTTCCTGCGAGGTATTAGAATGAATGCAGGAACAGGTCGACAGAATTACATAATCAAAACTGGCTCGGACTCGAGATATACTCTACCCTATTCCTCCATCACAATTATGAAACCTCAAGTCAAATCCATAATTCGACACGGCAGAAAAAACCATTTAGATGAGTAGGGAGTTGAATATGGAAGGAGTTCTCACGAGACCATAAACACGTCAGTTTCCATGGAGAATTTGAAAATATTTTCTAGTATAATAGGACATCTATTGGGCAAGGGTACCGGAAGGGAGACAGCAAGGGACAATGATATTCTATTCGACACGCTAAAGCCAACAAACTACATGGAGATCATTCTCTCGGCGCTGAAGCTAGCGAACAGTTATGAACTTTCCATTGGAACTGATTGATGTCAACAAAGTGAGAAGCGAGACGTTGGTGCTGCATAGCAGTATCCTCGATCCCCATATGCCACTGTCGCCTGACGGCGATGAAGCCACTGGTACTCTATTTCTCCCTTTCATCGTCAACGTGGGGTCTGCAGGTTCATATGATGCAACGGTTTTATGCACGCTTCATTGCAACTTCGTAGTAATCTCAAAAAATGTAAGCAATTAAACTTACAGCAAGAACTGTAGATCTATTGAGGGTGTAACAACGCTGAATCCATACAGGACTTGTGATGAAATGGAACGACCAATCATATCAAAACCAGTTACTATGGTGCGAGAAAATACGGGAATTGTTTGCAGCAAACCATCTCACAATGAACTGAGGGGTGCCAAACCGGCTTGTATATAAATTGGTAATTTTTATTTATTTATTATTATTGAGTGAGTTGTTCCACGGTGGCATGCAAAATATAACTGTAAAATTCTTAGGAATTCTAAGACCTAGGTTCGAAGAAGCCGGTTGTATTTGGGTTTTTGGATTCTATACAAGGAGGTTCTAAAACCGGGGGATAACTAGGTTTCTCAGGTTTCCTAGGGATCATGCTAGTATAATGTATGTGGCAACACTATTGTATAACATGAATTCTTCCTTGAGTATGCACTAGACTCCTAGCTATGGAAGGTAAATAGAAAATGCAACAACAAGATCTTACTAAGTCTAATAGAATCTTAATTAAATTCTAAGTAATCTTTAATAATTCTGATTAAACTTTAATCAATCTAAAAGAAATTATAAAAGAAACATAAAAAATTCATAAATTAATTTTAAAGAAAAATAATAAAAAATCCTAAAAAATACAAAATAACCTTTTAAAATTTTAAAAATAGTAATTTTAAAAGAAGTAATAAAGAATCTTAAAGAAATATAAAAATAGAAATTCTATATTAATCATAATCAAATCTTAATGTAGCCCTAATCAAATCCTAATAAAATTCTAAAAATTGTAAACAAATCCTAATAAAATCCTAATCAAATATTAATTAAATTCTAATCAAATCTTAAACAAATTCTAGACCAAACTTTAATGAAATCTTAACCATACCATAGACCAAATCTTAATTAAATTTTAATCAAATTCTAATAAAATTCTAATTAACTCATTAATTTTAAATATCTCAAAGAAAATCCTACATAAATCTTAACAACTTCTAAAGTTTTTTTAAAATCTCAATAAATAATAATCAATAAAACTAACAAATTGAAAGAAAAGCTTCCAAAGCCTCTTAGATGTTGGCAACCCTCTTCCAACTTAAATGTTGATCTTCCAACAATGTGTATTTCTTAGTGAACTATCGAATTACTTAAAAAATTAGCTAGTCTGTAGATTTATGTCATAATTGTTCTCGTCAATTTGTGCTTCAATCAAATTGGCAGGTGTTAGAAGATTGCAAAATCCCTCACTAACTCTAAATTTCAACCATCCAAGACCACAATCTATAAAAACTCTCATAATCATAAATCTAAGTATTCAATTAATATAATTTTTTAAAAATATATTTAAGATAAATATAATTATATAATAATAAAATTATATCTATAAATATATTATGATATTTACAAAATCTTTAAATTTATAAATTTCTTTTTATTTTTCAAAATCCAAGTCCATTGAATACATCTCTAACTTTAAAAAACCTTCAAAATTCAATATATTTTCAAATCACATGAAATAAACTTTAAAAAATTCTTTTATAATTTTTCTCTCAAATTTGATTCTTAAATCAATCAAAGAACCTCAAAGTGGTTGTAGGTATGTGATTTTGTACCTCGGGGTCTAATTTTGATCTTATTTTACAACCAATCTTTTGTAGATATCAATTCTTCATATTTTGAGGTGATTTTTTTACTAATCCTATTTTTAATTTTTCTTTTCAAAATAACTATATTAATTATTTATCTCATTTATTTTGATTCAACTCATTTATGTCATTACAAAATAAATAAAAGTCTCTTCAAAATGGCAATATTAATATTTATTAGTTTTTACTACTTTCTTGTCTATTATTTATATTTCTAAAAGAATTTGCCAAAGTATTTTTATTTAAGCTCTTCTATAATATAATTTTTTTTTTTTTTGTTTTACTATATAGTTGTGGTATCACACAACAATGTTTGTTCGGCTCTTTTCTTGTCAATAAAAAGTTTGAATCCACGTGCATCTAAAGGTATGTAATTTATACTAATATGGATTGGATTCAATTATCCATTTTGTGTTAAGTAGTGATCATCTGATGGCTCAATTTTGTACATGATTTGTACAAGAATATCTTCTTTCATTGCTTATGTAAGTTGCTTCTTAATGTTCATGATACTATCTTCAAACAATAATAGAGAAGCAAGGAATTGATATTGAAGGTAGTATTATACTACTCTTGGTTGTGTCAAGAAGGGGTTCTAGGATTGCAATGAGTTTTGTTGAAGATAGCTGATTTTATTGAGTTCTTTGTGGTTTAATATTGAAGGGATGATAAGTGTTTGGATGGTTTGCATTTGGTTGGCAAGATCTTTGAGTAAGAAATCAAGGTATATGAGAGGTTTTTATTTAGGTGGAGATTGTTCCATGCAATAAATTTTTGATTAAGATCATATGTATACGAATTTAGATTTTATTGTTTTGTGGCACTTAAGTAATTGGCAGTGATTGACTTTTTGGAATTTTATCCAAGTTCTTATTTTGACTTGGAATAATATTTATCAAACTTCATAAAATACTATCCTAAGATAGAATTGTCTTTTTTCTAAGTCATGTTTATATTTTTGGTACCAAATGTATCACATTATGGCCCACTAAATAATGTTCTGTATAATTTTTTTGATAATGGAATGTGAGTTGTCTATATACTAAGAAGTAGAATCATCATGTATATTTAGATTGCACTTGGATATGGAGAATATCTTAGATAGAGTTGATTTTTAAGTAAGACTAAGCATAAAAAAATCCACTTCGTATTCAGTATTAATACTTATTTTACTGATCGAAATCTTGGTAGACGCGTATAATATCCGGAAATTTCTAACCAATTGAAACCTAATTTTTCGATAGTTGTGACATATTCTCCTTTATTCTCATCTTATATCCTACATACTAACTGCCGGACCTACTGTAAGTTTGTTGGCGTTGGAAAAACCTAGAAAATGTACAATGAAGCGGAAGGTAGAGGATGTATTGGTACATTACCTTATTAGAACAGCATCCATTTTCCCGTCGTATGAGAACATTTATTTGACAGCTGCTACATATATATAATTTGCTGTTCGGTATTGTAATGAATAATCAAGTAATTGTTTGCTACATTTTGTGATTAATTGTGTAAAATGAAGGGAATAATTGAAAAACATTTCCGAAATGGGGCGAATATAAGTAATTGGTTACATGGAGGGTTTAATCAGTTTATTAGTAAAAGTGCGAGACTGAATATTTCACTGTACAGATGTGGACACTGTGACATTGTCCCTTTTGTGGAAAATTTATAATCTTACAGGTGGTAATGAGCGATATATAAGATGCATTTTCTGCAGTTAGAATATTGTCTGTACAGACAGTTGGGGTAATGACCACAGGAAATTGTATGCACATTCGCCACATTCATGCAGAATAGTAATCGATCAAACATGCCTGTTTCTCATCGTTCACAGACAGTGAATTCCTTACGGCGTGCCTTCTTTGACACAGCAGTGAGACAGACTTCAGCCTGGGCCCCTAGAAACAGTCAACAGCATACATTGACAGAAGTAAACACGCAAGACTACAGCCTCCCTCCACAACAAAAACAATTGCTACGCCCTAGGGGTGAAGGAGCGTCGATTTCATCCCAGTTAATGGTGTTCATAAACACCAATTTAGTATCTAAGTCAAAATCGTCTCTAGGCGCTGGTGAACTTCGTCACGGCCTTTGTGCCTTCTGAGACTGCGTGCTTAGCCAACTCTCCTGGGAGAATCAGACGAACTGCAGTCTGAATCTCGCGAGAAGTGATCGTCGGCTTCTTGTTATACCGAGACAGTCGGGCCGCCTCTTGCGCCAGCTTCTCGAAAATATCGTTAATGAACGAGTTCATAATACCCATAGCCTTCGATGAAATACCAGTGTCAGGATGAACCTGTCGACAAGACAACCGTAACACGCCACTCAGCACCCACAAAAAACGAGACACTCGTTGAACTCATCGCAAAAATTCTCAACAAACATACATTTTAAGTAACCACGCACACCCACGACCCAAGAGAAGCCGGACGAGCAGTCTCCATACCTGCTTCAACACCTTGTATATGTAGATCTTGTACGTCTCCACGTTCTTCTTCGACTTCTTCTTCTTCGAATCGCCCTTGGTGTCGGCCTTGATCTTCTTCTCCGCCTTCTTCACCACGGGCTTCTTCTCAGCCTTGGACTTGGTAGCCTTCTGCTCTTCTCCTGCCTTCGGGGCCATCTCTACGAACCGATACACAAACAGAGAGCAGCAAAGATGATGCCAGCCGATGGACCACAAGCAATGAGACAAACACGCCAACTGAATGAACTTGACGGACACTGCGTCAACCAGATCTCACAGCGGAGAGAGTCTTTTAGGCTATATAGTGCGAGTTTACGGGAGAGCCAATGGGTGTGGGTGGTTTGGGCGGCAAGAATGGAGACGGTGAGCCTTTGGATTTGCATCGGATTCGCCGTTTGAATGTCCAGCCCGCCAAATTTCGGTTTTCCCTCCAAATTCCTCAATAAAATTAGATATGGCGGGAAAACGGGGATTGCCTTCACACAGAAGGGTTGTGGTCGAACTTACCAAGAGTTGGTGTTCTTTTAAGACGGGGTTTTGGCATGATTTGCTTGTAATTATCACCCAAGCATTAATTTGTGAGAAAAAAAACCATAATTATAATAAATAATAAAATAATAAATAATCACAAAAACACTATCCAAAAATTATTATATGTATAGTAAAGTATTTTTTGAGAAGGACTCTTTTTTGCATTACAAATAAAAAATGTCAATATGAAGAATATTATATTTAAAAAATGAAATTGAATAAGTAAAAAAAATTTATATAAAAATTAAATATATATTATTTACAATCTCAATATCCAAGGTTAATGAATAGTATTTAGATTTAAGATATCATCATCTGTTATAATCTGTAGTAAATGGTAGAATCATTTTGTATTAGTGAAGCATTTGGAAACTTTTCTTCAAATAAAATTCAAAAACATTACGACACAAGAACACAATTTTTTTCTAATGCATATAAATTAATATTTTTCTATTTATATAATGTAAGAATAAATCAGTTTTGATGTTTGTATCGATTCAAAAGTTATGTATATCTACAAATATAGTTGTTAATATTAGAAAAATTATATTTTCATAATTTAAAGGATATTCTTTAATATCATAAAAAAAATATTAAAAGATATACTTGATTGAATTTATTTAATGAAAGTTGAATCAATAATTAGTTTTGATATTATTGCTTAAAGAAAAAAATGTTCTATCTTCAAGAGAATTATCTATTATTGATCAAAAGCAACATATCCTTCCTTTAGTGTAAGATAAGATTGCCTAACGAATGCATTTGTCAAACATTATTATTTTTTTTGGTCAATAAGTGATCTTAAATTTGAATCTTAACAAGGACATACTTCAACGAACTTGCCAATGATTCAAAATATGTGCTGACATGAAATATTCAAGATTCTTATGATCTTTATATGTAATGATTGGATTAAAAGTGTCTTCTAAATAATACACCATTCTTGAAATAAATCCATGATTGCAAGAATTTTTATTTTGTAGATCTTATAGTTGATCTTAGCTATTAAAAAAAAATGGAATAAAAAGCTATTAGATGAAGTTTATCATTTGTTTCTATTTTTGATAATACAATATCTAAATCAAAGTCTATTTCTATAAAAATTTGCTTAAAAAATTCAACATAATATAAGATTGGTATAAAAATAAAAGCTATCTTTAAAACTTTAAAAACTACTTTTGTTTTTTTATTCTATTAAAATTTGAATTTATAAGTCAAACATGTAAGTGGAACTACAATTGAAGCAAAGTCTTTGATAAAGATGTAATAGTAGTTGGCAAATCCTAAAAAAAATATTAAACAATTCTTTGTCACGGACACAGAAATACAGACTCGAGATCTAACAAGAAGTTTAAGAAGAACTGGCAAGAACTAGATTAATCAGATGAATACAAGAACAACACCAAAGATGTGAGCTAGAGCTCCAAGAAATGTGTTGTCGAGACTGAAGAACTCTTCAGCCTTGATTCCAATATATACTCCTATTTAAGAAGCTTCTGAAGTAACTTCTACCAACTAGGAAGCTTCTAGAAGGTTCCAGAGACTTGCTTCTAGAAGGTTCTAGAAACTTATCTCTAGAAGGTTCTAAAGACTATGTCCCTAATATCTTCTATCAACTAAGAAGCTTCTAGAAGGTTCTAGAGACTTGCTTCTAAAAGGTTCTAGAAACTTGTCTCTAGAAGGTTCTAAGGATTATGTCCCTAACATCACCCCCTCTTTTAGCTTCGAGGTCTCTGAGAAGCAATATTGTTGTTAATCAGTACCAATGCAAGAAAATGAAGATCTGTCGCATAATGTCTGCTATGAACTCTTACTATTGTTCACGAGGCAAGTGGTTCATCGGCCCTTAAAGCCAACGGTAGTGGCCCACTCCTTCAACTTCTGACCAAGCATGAACTTCTGTGTCCTCATTGTGAAATTGTCCTGCAAACACGCCTTCTGGCTGACCATCGTAAGTAGGCTCGGACTCAAATACAATCACTAGTGATCCGTTACTCGGTATCCTCCATCGTCGTCGTGGTGTAGGCGATTCTTCATCTCGAGGTTGCCTTTGTAAGCTAGTCGGTTGATATAATCTGACTGACATAATATCTATCTCTTGGCTATCCATATCAAAAGACCAAATTATGACTACTGAAAAAATTCTACTTTATCTTAGAGAAAATAACTACATCAAGTACGAATTTTGGTGGTACTCTCTCCCTTTCTTATATTATTGGGTGAGCAAGCTTTAGAAGGAAGCTATCGTCAAACCGGCTTAGATTTATGAGGATGTTGTTGATGAAACTATTGTACCTTTTGCAGTGAATTGGCGAGATTTTCAACTGGCTTCCACGTTTGCTCATTAATGTCGTAGCCACACCAATGAACAAGATACTCCAACTTGCCCCACCTTCGCCATGAATCTAGCACCTTTTCAACCTCGTATTCCTCGTGGTTCTCGATCTCAATACTAGGTGGCAGACATTGCATTCTTCTAGGAAAAGACAACTCTCGAAAAGGCTCCAACAGAGAAACATGAAAGACTGGATGTACCTTCATAGAAGCCAGTAATTCTAGACGGTACGCCACTGGATTGATTTGCTTCTGGATGATAAATGGTCCCAATCTTCGATAGTCCAACTTATCACATGGTCACTTGGTCTTGATATTCTATCGAAGAAGCCATGCTTTATCTCCAATTTTGAAAGTAGGTGCTTAGTTCCGAAATCTATCTACAAACGCCTTGTAGGATTCTTGAGTGGATTGTAATTGAAGCTTCAACGTATTTTAAAGCTCTGATAGTTGTTTTGCAAATCCTTCAGCTGTTGGATTATTATTTGTTGACGGATACAATAAATCAAGCTTCGGATGATATCCATAGTTGGAAAAGAATGGTGTGTATTGAGTCGATGCATGGAGGATATTGTTATATACAAACTCAGCTAACAACAGATATATGGTCCAATCATCTTGCTGATAGTTGATGCTACATCGTAAATAATGTTCTAAGACTTAGTTCATCCATTTTGTTTGGCCATCAGTTTGAGGATGAAAAGCCGAAGAAAGCTTGATATCCACCTTCAGTATCTCAAAGAGAGATCTCCAAAACTTTGATACAAACTATGTTCCTCGATCTGATATGATATCATCTGGTAGTCCATGATATTGATATACATTATCAAGAAAGAGCCTTGCTGTGACTTCACTGGACGATGTCTTCTTACAAGGGACAGAGTGCGCCATCTTAGTAAGCCGATCTACCACGACAAAGATGTTGTCAAATGAGTTCGATGATGGCAGGTCTGTGATGAAGTCCATGGAAATTGAAGACCATGGTCGACATGGAATTGACAATGGTTCTAAGAGTTTATAAGGGCGATGTCTAGGATTCTTGGATCTTGAATAGATGTCGAAGGAGACGACAAAATCTTTCACATCCTTCCACATTTGGGGCCACCAAAAATCTCGAGAAATAAGCTCCAAGGTCTTGTTGAATCCAAAATGTCCCGCAGTTGGAAAATCGTGGCGAGATTGAAGAACTTGGAGTTGTGCTGGTCCTTTCGGGATATATAACTGCTCCTCAAAGTATAAAAGATCTCCCTCCACCTTGAACTTGTCGTCATTGGCACGCTGCTTAATATCAATAGCTACTGAATCTTCAATGGTCACGGTACGTACCTGATTTAGGAAGTCAACATCAATTGGCACAATAGTAGCGCAAAGTTGAAATTGCTCTAGATTCAACAATGTCGTACATTGTTGATCAAACGCTGCTTCTCCAGTCTTTGGTACAAGATACGATCTCTTTGATAAGGCATCAGATAGTCCTTGTTGCTTTCCAAGTCGATAAGTGATAACAAAATCGAACCTAGATAGCAACATACTCCACCAAGCTTGACGTCGATTTAGAACTTAAGCCGACATGAAATACTCCAAATTCTTGTGATTTGTGTATATGGTCACTGGGTGTGCAGCTCCTTTAAGAAAGTGATGCCATTCTTGGAAAGAATCCACTATAGCAAGAAGTTCCTTATCATGGATCTTATAATTGATTTCAACAACAAAGAACTTTCGAGAATAGAATGCAACCGGATGGAGCTTCTTGTCTTCTCCCATTTATGAAAGTACAGCTCCCAAAGCAAAATCCGAAGCATCAGTTTCTAAATAAAAAGCCTTTGTAAAGTCAAGATATATCAAGATTGGAGCCGTAGTAAATGCGATCTTCAGGTCTTGAAACGCCTTCTCCGTTAGAGGTCCTCATTCCAGCTTATCTTTGCATGTTAACTAAGTGAGAGGAGCAGCAACTTGAGAATAATTCTTGATGAAGATCCGATAGAAGTTGGCAAAACCAAGAAAGAATTATACGTCTGTAAATGTCTTCGAAACCTCTCAGGACATGATTGCTTCCACCTCCTTGGGGTCCATCTTCAAGCCTTCCATAGTCACAACGAACCCCAGAAACTCCATCTCTATTTGGTGAAATAAATACTTCTCCAGCTTGGCATATAGTCCTCACTCGCATAGTTTCTTCAAGACCAAACGAACGTGCTTCTCATGCTCTTCCTCGTTTTTGGAGAATATCAAAATATCATCCAAATAGATGACAATAAAATCGTCAAGGTGTTCTTGGAAAATGTCATTCATCATATGTTGAATGATCGCTGGAGCATTGGTAACACCAAAGGGCATGATATTATACTCAAAATAGCCATACCTTGTATGGAATGCTGTCTTCGACTCATCTCCTTCCTTGATTTGTACGAGGTATTAAGCTCC